GGCGCTCAAAAGGTAACGAGATCGGACCGAGACCGCGTTCAGCGCTCTCATTGGCCGGCTTCAATGAACCACGCAATTAGAGCGCCGAATGCGGTTTTTTAAACGTTAAACGAACTTGTACTAAGCTGTTTTGTATCCAGTGACTCCATGCGACCATTATTAGGGGAGTCCACCTTGTGGGTGGACTTCATACACTGTTTAACAAGTAAGTAGCAAAATAATAATAATTTAACTATGCCTCGAAAATAATTAGGTCTATATTTCACCGGGACACCATGGCAGTGCAACCAGTTACCGCGATCAACAAAATGCACCTATATACAGTTCTATTCGTTATTCGCCTGTAGGTCTACTCCGATTCGCATTTCGTCCGAAACTTCGCAGATTTCCTACCACAATGCAATTTATTACCGATTTTGCATGACTTTTATTGACAGGTAGATGATGTAATGAGGAGTAACATAGGCTACCTACTTTTAAACCAGTACTACCTACTTTGAAACCAGTTTTAAACTATTGGGTAGTTTCCAGGGTATCAAAATTGACAATCCAATTAGTCCGTCAGTTAGATAATGAAAAAATATTAGACACGTATTTTTTTATTTTCTCGTATTAAGTTGCAATACTTAGGTAAAATGGCGCTAAGTTTAGGAGTGGGAGGTCGTTACGTCATAACGTGCTACAAAATGTGGCACGCTGTGACGTCACACGATATTTCAAATTAATATATCGTCGAAAGTATTCAATTTTGTAAGAAAAGAAAAAATATGTATCTCAAATTTAAATTAATGTACCAGACGGACATTAAAATCAAATTTAGGAAACTACCCTATTTTGAAAGCCCCATAACATCTTAACTTAGGAATCGAATCTAACACGCTTAGGTAAACAGTCATACTACAAACATAAATTATATTACGATATATACAGAATACAATAAAATATATAACAGTTTCAAAATATACATATATATATATATATATATATATATATAATTTAAAAATACAGAATCTATTACTTAAAGTTTAAACTATCGGAGTGCATGCATTCATTTAAATAGTATTAACATACAACCATACATTATAATTACATATATTCACTATAACACCGATTTTTAACAGGTTCAGCTACCCTAGCCGAGGTTGATTTCTGGATGGGTGACATTTTTTACATTTTAATCTTTTTTAAAGGGTTTATATTAAACTGTGAAGTGTCGGAACAGAGATTTACGCGAGAGACAATATGTTTTTCTATTCTGTCTCATATATCGACAGACAAGAGCTTACCAGCTTAGCTTTATCAGTACCCTTATCCGACGAGCATGCATGAAAAGACTGATAACTGTTGATGAAGCGAAAGATGTATGTAGGAATCGTAGCAATAGGGTAGACGACTAATTTTTATTTTAATGTCCGTCTGGTAGATTATTTAAAAACATTAGACACGTATTTTTTATTTTCTTACGGAAACGAATAGTTTCGAAGATATATTGATTTGAAATGTCGCGTGACGTCACTTCTCAGTACATTTTATACTAAGGAATGACGTTTTAACCCCCACACCTAAACTTTGATTCGTTTTATCTAAGTGTTGTTTTATTAGTGTTGTTTTATTATACGACAAAATAAAAAAATACGTGTGTAATATTTTTTAATTACCTAACTTACGGACTAATTATATTTTTGTCATACCCTGTCATCATCCCCATTGGCGTTCGATAGCCTCTGCCTATCCCATGGGAGACAGGTGTGAGGTTATATATGTAGTACATAACATAACATCACGCCTTTTTATCCCCGAAGGGGCAGGCAGAGGTGTACATTACGGCACTTAATGCCACTGTACAATGTAACACCCACTTTTCACTATTTATGTTATGAGTCCCATGTAATAGGGGTGAGCCTATTGCCATATACCGGGCACAATTCCAGACTCTGCTACTACTGAGATTTTTTTAAACCCTATAATACTTTGCACGACCCGGGAATCGAACCCGAGACTCCTGCCCGGCAGTCCAGAGCAGTTATATATGTATGTCATGTTAAAATTTAAATCGAAAAAGTACATGTTGTGCCCAATACGGCCGATGCCGATTCGGAGTCGCGGAGAACCTAACGGGTAACCGGGGCTCCGGCTCGACGTGCAGGAGAAGGAACGGGGTGGTTTTTAGTCAGTAAGAGTCTGACACTCCCTCCCGCCTCACCCAGGCGGGAGCAGTCATTCGATGATTTTCCCCCTTAAAAAAAAAAAAAAATTGTGTATGAAGCCTTTTTTCCCGCGGTCGTAAGAACCGACTATAGGACACATTTGACAGAGATCGGACAGCAGCGCTCTGAACCTTTTATACTGCGATGTCCAACACGCCTGATAAGCATTAAGATTACGATTGCGATAGCCGCGGAGGGCTTAACGGGTCGCCGGGGCTCCGGTTCAGTAATTAGTCAATAAGAGTCTGACACTGCCTCCGGCCTCACCCAGGCGGGAGAAATCATTGGATGATAATCCCCTCCCCTCTTATAAAGGAAGCTATAAGATGTTAGGGACGACCACCCATCCAAAAACGCACCTCGGCAAGCAACTATCAAGATGTATAGTAAATATATGAAACTATAAACACAGTTATACGGAAATTAATAAAAAAATAAGGAACATGTTTCGTTTGCACAACACAAAAAATATAATTTGACATGAATACTTTGTCGTTGTGAGGCGTATACAGTTGCTGGGCTTCAATCCCAATGTTGGACAAACGATAATATCATGTAATAAGGTTGATTTTAGTAAAAATGTAGTTTTTCTGTTTTTGTCCAGCAGTGGACAAAAATTGTTGGACAAAAAATAAAAACTGGTTTAAGGTAAAATGGGTCAGAAAACGCCATGTCCAATAGTGGCCTTAAAGCCCAGCAGTCCGTAAGCGACACAACGACCACAATCTTACATAACAATACAAACAACGATTTCTTAACGAAAAATCACGGAGAACTTAACCACAGCAATGACATTGTTTAAAAGTAAATTATTATTATATTTATTTAATAGGTAGTAGTCTAGTAATAATCATAATAAAAAAAAAAACAAGATATAGTTTGACTAGCCAAATAAAAACAAATAAAAAAATGTAATATTAAAAACCGATATATGGAAATAGACCTTAAGCCTGTCACAATTTTTAAATTACAACAAGATTATTTTTGTAAGCCGGTAAACGAGCAAACAGATCACCTGGTGGTAAGCTATCGGTGCCGCCCATGGACACCTGGAACACGAGGCGTTACATGTGCGCTGCCGACCTTTTGGGAGTTAGGGAATTTAGAGATTGGGGAGAGGAGCACTCGGCGAAACACAACGCAAGCGTTGTTTCACGCCGCCGGTGAGCTATGAAGCCGTGATATCACTCCGGTCGAGCCGACCCATTCGTGCCAAAGTGTGGCGAGGTCACGTGATTTTTATAATATCTCATTTTAATGCCTCTTTTTGTTAAACCGCCGTATTCTATTTAATGGCTACTCAACCCAGTTCTTAGCAATTGTTTTAGGTACAAAATCGTTACTGAGGAATAGTTTAAGTAATCATTAAATGTTGGATTGATTTAAACATGAAAGAAAATAAAGAATTAAGAAAGAAAAGCAGTTCATTTGCACCGTTACAGAAATTAAATAACAAGAAAAATATAACATATA